GGACACTTGGCAGCGAAACAGCTTCCTTTGCGGTGCAGCGTCACCATGACACCTACAGAGCTTTTGGAAAAAAACAAACAGGCTCAGACCCTTGCCGGTCTGCCGGCTTAGCTATCTCCTTCCCTGTGCTACCCATTCACGACATGCAGCAAGGTTTGTGGGAGCATGAGGTGCGCAGAAGTGCACTTGACCGCTAAGATGATTTGTGCTAAGATTGCTGAAACGCATGTGTTTTGCGGTGAGCATTCATGAATGGGCTCGTGCCGGCACATGCGCCTGTTCAACGGGTAGGTAGATAGCCAGCCAGGTCGGTGGGTAGGTAGCTAGGTCGGTACCGTTGTCAGTGGCCACCACCAACTCCATAGTCCTACTAGCTCCTGTGCTCTCCTCTTCCTATTGCTGATAGTAATAGTACCACACCGTGAGTATCACGCATACTGTCATCGGCCAGTTCTTCTAGTACTGGCAGTGGCCACCCCCATACTACTCTTGCTTTGCGGACCTTCAAGGAATTATACCTGATAGGCTCCAAGCTTGGGCATACGACTCTCTAAGTCGATGCCCCGAAGATGAGTGCAGCCCTTGAAGAATCGCTCGCGAGGTGGTTCGGGAAATCCAACATTCACAACACTTAACGGCGTTCAATGTTTGAGGCTTATTCTTCTTCCGGCGCCCGGCGACGCCAGACCCAGCAAAGTAGGGTGAAGGATCAGAGTGTGTTTAAAGAGCCACGGTTTAGGGTTTAGGGTGAAGTTTGTGGTGTGCGCGCGGGACAGGAACTGTAACACGACCAGACAATCGGAACGGCAACGAACGGCTAAAGTGTCGGTCGCAGTAGTACAGTTCCAAGCTTGTAGCAAATTCTGTACATACATAGACAGCGAGATCAAAACCTGCGATCAATTGGAATCTGCTCTTAAGGAGGTTTCTACACCACAGGCAGCGGCACCGAGAGGGTCGCCGCTGTGCGCGCTTTGGCAGGGATTGCTGGTTTTCAACCTGCATGGTCCTAGCCAGGCGAGAGGCAAAACGCGGCCCTCAACCCCAGCCCGAACCGCTTAATTACGAGCGAGGCGCATAGGTCCTTGATTGAGTAGGGTTCTCGGCTATTAGTGGTGGAGCTTCAGACAGAGCCTAGACATGAGATTTGCGGCGGAACAGAAAAAAAACGTGACAACTCTATATGGAGCCGAGAACAGGGGTTTCATTGTTCATTGCAGCATCGGAGGCGAGGTTGTCGGATTTTGGGGTCGGGGATTTGTCTTCATGGCTTAGGATGGCCCTTGCTCGTTCTGAACGATAGCTGTGGTATCTTTTGGGTTCTGGGTTTAGGCCCAACTTCGTCCGCTTCTCAAAGCAGTACGTGATCACATGATGACTCAGACTTCGCCCACATTCACGTCTGAGCAAAGAAGGCAGGAAGCGTTCCCACGTGTCGATCCTTGGCGTCCCCGAGCAAGAGCTCAAGTTTGCTAACATGTATTGCAACGGTAACTTCAACAGAAATCTTACGCACACAAGGCCTTAATGTCTGTGTTGGTGGCGGCCATCTCGATCGTCATCTTCGGCTTCGCGCTGGGTTTCACGAGCCCGGCATCCGGAAAGCAATGTACCACAGTTTCGGATTTCGCAAATTGGGCTTGGGGGCTTGGGCCTGGGCGTGAGAGGTCAGTCCCAGAGGCGTATAGTCTAGAGGATCTTGGCTGGGCGTGTCCCCATACAAAAAACTCCGTTTCATGAGCAGCTTTTGCTGCGTGCGTGTGTGTGTGTGTGCATTGTGGTTACACCTAGAGTGCTCCGAAAGCGGCTTCCAACCTGCAGTCAAGTTCTCGCTAACAGAGTGCATGTTAACTTCTCGTGAGACTCGCCGGAATTCACGGACTGCACGGCCATATCTAACATCACTACGCAGCAGCTCGCCACCGTACTGTACAGCTGGAACTCTCGAGCGGTTTTGCTAGACTCGTCACATACCGTGCTCGAGCTTGTGAATAACTTACCCTCTGGAGCTGTTTCCGCAACTACAGTTTTACCAACCAAGCAAGTGCATCTCAACATACCAAGAGGGAGCTTTTCGGTTTGCTGCTGTGCAGAGCTTGCTGCACGTGCATAAGGCGATTGCCACCATGCAGGACACGGTGAGACTTCCAGCTGCACTCGGAAAAACACCGTATCCCCAGTACACCCATAGGCTCCATGGTAGTTCCTTTTTGTGGTTCATAATTTTGGATCTTATAAGGTAGCCAGCCCCAAAAAGGAACGACAAAGGAGCCTATGGGTACTCCTTGTATACCCATATAGTTACACAGGAGCCCCAAACTCGCCATGAGAGTCCTTCGACTTCGAGGCTTCCAGTTCAGGTATACGGGCCCCCCTCGTGGCCAGGGCTTCTTTGCGGGGGAGCTAAGAGATAACGGCTAATATAGGGACCTTTATAAACAGAACGGGCTTTTGGGGTATATTATACAATAACTATAATAAGGAACCCTCCAAAATAGTATAGGTATCTGCTGTAGGCTCCTGTATCATTACTCCGTAGTGTCTTTATTTACATCGAAATCGGGAAGAGTGTTTTTGCTTGTACGGCTATCAACTCAACGTATTGAGATGTTTGTCGTCGCATGGAGGAAAGGGGACTTGGCTTAGTTGCCTGCCGGCGGATGTGAGCTCAGAGTTGAACCAAGTTGAACCTGAAGAGCTGTTGAGCCGCCTAAGCAGCCTGCGGCACAAAAGGCATATAAACTCAAGAGCTCGTCGCTATTCTGCTACGACATGTTGTTAACCCGTCCTGCTGATAATGGCGTGATTTCTGCGGGCCCTGCAACGTTTATGGTGAAGAGGGCGGTCTTTGCATCACGGTTCCTGACTCCGAAGGTGCCGAAATCGTAAGCTTTCTAGTTATGAGTGTCCAGGTCCGAAGTTAACCTTCCTAGCAGAAACGCGTCCTGACGCCGTAAATCCAAGGACAAAGTGGTGAATGGAAACCGGCGCCGCCTGATCTTGTTGTCTTCCACACGTCCGACCACAAGACATCAGCGCAAGGCATGTCCAAACTAGCGGCTACCGGCTTCGGTGTGTCATTCATGGGGTAGATGTTCCACCTCGCAGTCCTAGAGTAGAAACACAATGCAGTGTTTTAGAAGGTTTAGAGGTTGGAGATTGGTCGAGTTTGATCTCGGTATCCAACTTTGTTCAAGATGAGTGGTTTTGGATATCTTTCGTGCCGTGGGCAGGAGGTACCGATGGTTTAGAGCCCCAGAGATGCATGGCTATAGCACATTAAGGCGACATGCCGTGCCTGTAGGTGTTTTACTTTGTGATCTAATATGACACAGACATGTATGTATGTGCATATATATATACACACATATATATATATACATACATATATATATATATGTATACAGCATACACACATATTACCTGTCTTCAAACATGTCTACTGTAGCTATCTGTCTATATATCTGTATATACACATACATATGTGTTAATATGACCGCACAAATTTGTTTAACAGAGGCGCCCTTGCGTCCAGGAGTGATATCATATGAATGTCATGTGCCTTTGCATGGTTTTGCCATTTCGGGCCCCTTCTCTCTCACCCTACGATCATCAAGTGGAAAGGAATGGAATAGAACGAAACAAGCCAGAGTGGATGGATGGATGGATCGACGGATGGATGGATGCATGAATTGATGAATGGATAACTAGATGAATCGGTGATAGGGTGAATGGATGAATGGAGGAATTCCAAACGACATGACGACATGAAACGAAATAAAATCAAATGAAATGAAAGTGTACGTTTCTGTGTACATCCACACCAAGAAACCAGGAAAGGGGATGACATAAAAAGAGGAAGGGGGTTGATGTACTTGCTTTGCACGTGGAGGGAATCCAAAAAACGTTGGGTAGACAACCCTAGGTTCATTAAAGGAGGCCAACTTAGGGTTCCCTATGAATGAGGATCCTTCTAATTTGAAGTGCTTGGTTAGGCGAATCTGTGTTCCCCGAAGCTCCCATGTGTACTGCAGAGCCTGGAACTCGTCCGAGAGACTTGCAAGCGCGCTAAGTCCGTTCTAAGTCCTGTGCAGCCCAGTGAGGAAGGCAGAAAATGCTCCAACAGAGACTCCCTTTGACGGCCTGAGCCGTACAGTGTGATAGCCTAACCAGGCTCCCTGTTCAGCTCCATCATTAACATTGGAGCCCTGGTGGGCGCACTCTGCGGCGGCAGCACGGCCAGCACAAAGATTTAGTATTGTTGTTATGAATATATATATATATATATTGTTGCAATTATTTATCGTTATTATTATTATTGACATTGTTATTACTATCATTATTGTTGTTACTATTGCTGGTTTCCGGGTGTCGCAGCTGTCGGGGGCTTCTTTTTCACGTGAAGTCCGGGGGTCTCAGGACCCAGGCTCTGGGCATTCACAGCTTGGGGACTCGTGCCGGAGTGTCTTGGACTCAGGGTCTCAGGGAGTACTTCGTCTACAATGTGTATGCACATATGTATCTATATATATATATGTATATATATACATGCATAAATGTATTTACGTGTGTGTATATATGTTTATGTGCATACATATATGTATGCATGTATGGATGGATGGATGTATGGATGTATGCATGCATGCATGCATGTATATATTATGTATGTATGTATGCATGCATGCATGTATGTATGTATGTGTATGTATGTGTAAAGGTGTATGTATGTCTATGTATGTCTATGTATGTCTATGTATGTCTATGTATGTCTATGTATGTATGTATGTATGTATGTATGTATGTATGTATGTAATGTATGTATGTAATGTATGTAATGTATGTAATGTATGTAATGTATGTAATGTATGTAATGTATGTAATGTATGTAATGTATGTAATGTAATGTATGTAATGTATGTAATGTATGTAATGTATGTAATGTATGTAATGTATGTAATGTATGTAATGTATGTAATGTATGTAATGTATTTAGTGTAATTTCATGCAAAAGTAAGCTGCGCCAAATCGACCCGGCTGCTCCAAAGGGAGCCACTGAAACTCGCAGAGCGATCCCATCGATTGTAGTGGTTCTCCTTCAGGCAGCTGTTCCTTGGTGCCCCAGTATCCCCTGAAACAGTTCAGCATGTCTTGTGTTCTACGTATCAACTTCACAGATAAACTCCAAAGCGAAAGTCACAGAGCGGTGCTACGGAGAAAAACCCTACACCCGAAACCCTTATCCTAAACCCTAGACCCTAAACCCGAAACATGTTGCCAAAGGTTCATCATCTGCTCAAACTCGTGCACCAAGTACTCGTGGTCTGGTCCACTCCTCAGCGAGGGAGATCTCGAAGGTCTAAGTCTAACACTCCGAAGCCCTTAAACCGTAGTCCCTAGTCTTTTTGCTGTACCCTGAACCTTAACTGCGTGAGGGTTTGTTTTTGATATATGCGATGTAGCTCACCTCGCCGAGCGCTTAGTTGTAATGATTGTGGTTGCCCAAGTAGATCTGGTAGGAACCGTTCGCCCACTTGTACTTGTCTGTTCCGTAAGCAGGCACACGCTGACAAATCTTTTGCTGCCTCGCTGACAGTCAGCGTCGGTCTGTGCACGGGAATGGCACACGCGCACACACACACAGAGTCGAATCACAAGTCAGCAAGCACAGACAGATGTTGACTAGTGGCAGTACCTTGAGCAAAATTGCCAGCATACGGAGCATTGACAGATAACCTCCCTATGCACTCTGCGAAGCAGAGGAGTAGGTTGGAAAGCACATGAACCACTGGCTGAATCACAGTCTGCGAAGCAGCCCGGTGATGGTCTCATATACAGCTCGTGTAGCGACACCACGAAATTGCACGAGGCATCGAGGTCTGTTCGCACCCCCATGAATTAGACCTTCGGTCTTGCTCACGCAGGAAGAGAGTCGCGATTTGACCAGAAAAGTTGTACACTATCTCCGCGGCAACTTTGAAAGAAATGTGTGTGCTCTGACTCCCAATGCGTCAACGGCGATTCCCTGAGTCGAAACAAAATAAAATCATGCCTCTGAAGAACGAACAGTGTAAATGCCGGTCTCAGAAACAGGTAGTAGTAGGCGAAGAAGAGGTGGATCACCTGGTGATTCAGTTTTCACAGCGACGGAAGTAGTCTCGCCTTGAAGTGTTTCCACGATTGAGTGGTGCTCCTCTTGGCTCTACCGGCCTCGCAGCTGCAGAATACTCCTCCTGAGTCACAGGTCAATCACGGATCCCCTGTTGTCGAGCAGAAGGATGTGGAGAGCGCTTGGGGTCGAGCCGCTGCCTGGTCAACTTCGCTGTATACTTCGCCGATATGATGATGTTGGAATTGATCAGCAGTTCGATGGTACTGGTAGTGGTCTTCTCATCCAACATCATGATCACTCCCACTGTCGAAGTCGAGGTAGTCCCTGTTGGCAGTTGCCTCAAGACTGCGAACATAGTTTTCCCGGTAACCTTTGCGATGAAGGTCTGAAGGAGAGAGTAGCAGCTGGCGAGCATCTTTTGTGGTGACTGTCCTCTTTCGTCGCAATAGGTGGAAGGATTGAAGATACAGTATTTCGCGGCATGCCCATTTGGTGAGCACCACGCATGAGCTTCCGCAATGGATTGGCTGGGAATTTGCGAAAGAGGTACTGTGCATCAGGATCATTTGGATCCTCCAAACTCCTGGTGCAAGCCAGAATCTCCTCATCGGTGACGTCTTTACCCGGTCACAAGGCCGTCGAGCATCTGTTCTTACTGCAAATCAACCCAGCGCATGGAATTTATCCACGACTTGTACATGCATTGCACCACGATATAAGACATGTGCGCGAAGGAAACAGACTTTGGGTCATTGCAGTACGCGTCCGGAGCATTGGGGTAGTACGGCACTTGCATAGACATTCTTGCTTGAGCAGAGTCGGGTTGATGATGTGTACATTCCCTTGAAGAAGTATCGGACGTCGCTCTGCAACCTCATCCTGAGATTCATTTGCATCAGGATCTTGTTGTTCTTCATCAAGCTCATTCTCATCAACCATGTCGTCATTGTCGATTTCCATCTCGGGTTCTGCCATGGTACGAGCATCATCGTCTGGTTTTTCTGCTTGGTTGGCATTGGAAGATGTAGCGGCGGTAGCGGCCTCCATAACATGGGCGATGTCATCACGAGGGACCTCCAAAGGAGATTCCCTTGGTGGAGCTGTTCTGTGGAACTTGCCGCATGACTTGAACTTGGAGAAGCACCTGGCGCAACATGCCAGACATGATATTACCAAGTCGAGGCACCATGGGCACAACCTGTACCGCACCGTTGTGTCTCGAGTACTCCGAGTTTTTTCTTCGGGTCGCCTGTTCTTGATGGCAAATTAAGTCACCTCCCTGATAAGTTGATGCCTGCGAGCATCTTCTCTGTGAAAGTCTGCGTGATCTGATGCAAGTCGAACTCAGCCACCTTGATGCTTCGCTTCGCTTGCGGCTCTCGTCGCTCTGTCCGTGAGATCATCTTCATCGGAGGCTTCGTGCACAGGGTGTGGAGGGCCCGATCTGCTTGGATTTTCTCCAGGGACGATCGGTGCTTCTTCTTGCGACCGAGAACCTTTCGCGACCCCACTGCAAACATAAAGGCTGAGCGAGCGAATGCACATCATTTCATATTAACCAATTGTTTGTTCACCGGCGGTCTGTCACCATTGTGCAAAGATGTCCATAATCGGGAGTTCCGATGGGCATCATTGTGACAGCGGATTGCTTCATAGAAGGGCTCCGCAGAGCAGATCTAGGTCGCTGTGATTTTCGTGAAGAATTCCTGGAAGATATTGCCCTCACTTGTTCTAGACTCATTGGTTCACGATCCTTCGACTTCGTCGTCAATTGCCAACATTGCATCACGGTCTTCGACGGTTGTCTTTCACTTGCTCCAGTTCTTGGACTTGCCGATGACTGGCGTAACGTCGTAGTTGTATTCGGCGAAGATCTTGCACTCCTTGAAGGTTGGCTTGGTGATGAGACGGAAAACTTGGCCTTGTCCACTTCAGTGGTCGTTGAACCGGTTGACATGGCCAATGTGTCGTCGGAAGTTGACTCACCAGCTGCCGGCATAGCGACTTCAGCAGCCCCAGAAGTCACTGTCGTATCTGCGCTTGATCAAGACGTCAGTGTGTTTGCAGACGTTCCACAACTAGTCTCTTGTAAGCAGAGCCTACGGCTGAGAACCTGCGGGAGGGTTTGTTGTTGATATATTCGATGTAGCTCACCTCGCCGAGCGCTTAGTTGTAATGAGTGTGTTTCTCCAATACATCTGGTAGGAATAGTTCGTCCGCTTGTCCGATCCCTAAGCAGGCACGCGCCGACAAACCTTTTCCTGCCTAGTTGACAGTCAGCGTCGGTCTGTGCAAGGGGTTTGACACACACACACACACACACACGCAGAGTCGGATCACAAGTCAAGCAAGCTGAGTATCTTGAGCCAAAGTTGCCAGCATGCGGAACATTGACACATAACTATTCTAGGCGGGTTTTGCGCAAACATCACACTGTAGAAGCCGTAAACAACCCTTATGAAATCTGAAAGAAAACTCCTTGGTCCCATCAACATCAACAAGCACCCTGAAGCCCTAAACCATAAAGGGCGGTTTAGGGTTTAGGGTTTAACCATAGAGCCCTGAAGCCCTAAACCCTAAAGCCTGAACCCTTCACCCTCAAGCCTACCCAGAGAGCCCAATACCCCTTTGCTAAGCAATAGACCTTAAATTATAGGAGCCTTAATATTTTGTTTGAAGGTATATTCCTCCTTAATTAAGGGGTAATTAAGGAATAGACCTTAAATTATTATAGGGGCCTGGATATTATGATTCAAGGAATATTTCTGAATTAATTAAGGGGTGCTGGACTCTCTGGGTAAACCCTAAACCCTAAACCCCTAAACCCTAAACCCTAAATCCCTAAACCCTAAAATAGAAACCCTAAAGCTTGACTCATGGGTATACCTTGAGTCATCAGAAGGATCCCCGCTCTAATCTAAGGCACCTTCCTTAACCCTAAATCCTAAACCCTAAATCCTAAACCCTAAACCCCAACCCCTCGACCCTAAACCCCAAACTCTAAACCCTAAACCCTAAGCTCTAAACCCTAAAAAACCAAAAAACAAAAAAAAAGGAAGCGACTTTGGCGTCGCTGGGTCCCAGAGCCCTTGGGGTTTATCGCAAACCCCAAACCGTTGGAAACCGGATTCAGGACAAATCGTGCTGGGGATTCCTTATACATTACTCTTAAGGACTGAAGCTATTGGGATTCCAACTTTTGGGCGATTCTATATTAGGGCTTTAGGGACATCGGATTTAGGGTTTAGGGTTTAGGATTCCGGCAAGGCTCTGACTGAGCTTGCTTTGCAGCTTGCGCTGTTGCTCCCGTCCAGCCTGACTCAGGCAAGTAAGGAGTACAGGGCTTCCTAGGGCTTGGTTGGCTGCTGATGGGCTTTTATCGAGAATCAATAAGGGGTCCTTGTGGGTTTCATCGTGTTAATCGGGCCTTTTCAGTTTTCTCCGGGTTTGTATAGGATCCAAAACGGCTCCTTGAATAAGGAATGCATCGATATTAAGCAAGGCTACA